GGTTGATTAATCATTTTTATTATGGATGATGTTAATCATGAATATTATCATCTTCATTATTTTAATTTTAGAAAAAATACATAAAACAATTTTATTAAAATTTCATTAAGTAATATATGAAACAATTTCATAACCATATATGAAACAAATTCATCAAAAAAAAGTATTATATGAAACAATTTCACAAGATTAAATAATTTCATGAAAAAATTTCATACGATTAAATAATGAAATCGACGGATGAGAGTAGTTTTTACGTTTTTTACAAATTAGAATGATTTTCATTTTATCGCTCCTCTCTCTCTCTCTCTCTCTCTCTCTCTATATATATATATATATATATATATGCCAAAAAAATGTTACCTTTACCGATAGACCACAAGGCGTGGGATAAAACAAAGTCCAGCTGAGAGAGAGAGAGAGAGAGAAGGGGGACATTTCAAATGCAACACCTTACATTTGTACAACCAATGCAATCTAATCAATTGAAATATTTATAAAAATGATGAAAGTTCCTTTATTATGATTTGAATATTTATGAAAAATGACTAGGGTTCATTAATTATGATCAATACTTTATTTTAAAAAACAATCAAAACTTTTATGAAATTACATATTCATCAAATTAAATTGACGGTTGAGATTGAGTTGTATTGGTTGTACAAATGTAAATGGTTGCATAATAATAACTCACACGCACACACATAAAGAGAGGTTCAGAGGAAACCTCAAAAAAAATGAAAAATTGATAAACATCTTAATAACTATTCATCTGGACGATATGCACATGTATATACTAGTAATCGAAGATGTTTTTTGGTTTTTCTGCACATATGGATAACACCAGACTAATTGCTTAAAATTATTACTATGCATTTGTGCATACCATTAATATAAACTGGTACTAAGATGTTCCTCAATTTTTCATTTTTTACGGTTTTTCCTGAGCCTGACTTTATAGGGAGAGATCTTTGAGTTGTGGTTTTCGAAAGTTACAGGCCTTAGAATATGTTTATTTTGACCAAGGTGTGAATCAAGAAATGTGATGGTATTTAGCACCAAGACAGGTTAGGGTTGTGTTTGCAGGAAGTGGAGTTGGGAGACATGGAATCTATAAATGTTTTGACCAATGGCTGAGACTAAATGTTCTATCCATACTCGGTGGCTCACACCCCTCACTCTTATATTCTAAAACTAACACTACAAAAAAAACATCAAGTTCCTATGTCACTAATCATTTCTTGAGCCATAATCAAACAAAAAAGATTAGACATATGAACAACATGTAAACCATATGAACATCTTATGTATATTCATGAGCCAACTTTGCTGTATGTACATGAACACCTATGAACCAAGGCATCTAGGGCTGTGTGTTTTCATATATGTTCACATGTTTTCACATGTTCTCTGTGTGTGTGTATGTATTCATATGAACATCTAGTGACTTGAATATACATGAACACTTATGAATCACGACATCTAAGGCTGTGTGATTTCTGATGTGTTCATATGTCAAAGGTGAGAATTGTCGATTAAAACAAATGTGAATTATAGAACATGAACACGTGTGAAACCCCAATGTCAATATTGCATCATGATCAATTGTGATATTTTCAAATTTGTAACTCCCAATTAATTATTTGGGAGTTACATAAAATGACAAATTACTTAAATACCCATGTATTTAATATATGAGTTACATTTGAACCAAAGGAAAAGATGGAATATAATTGGTTAAGCTTGATTAACATAGTTAACACAAAAAAATTGGTTAGTATTTGAACCAAGCTCTCTCTCTCTCTCTCTCTCTCTCTCTCTATATATATATATATATATATATATTAACACAGTATTGAAAATATAGTACAACATAAATTTGTTTTTTATGAGTTCAAATGAGTATAAAAACATCTAGAGGTTGTTTCACCAAACAGTAACCGGGTAAGTGTTTACAAGGCCACTTACCTTACAGGGTGAGCATGGCAAGAACCCAAAATCTTATCTCGTAAGAGGCCTAGCAAGAACCACTAAACTTACCCAGTTAGCATTTACCTGGTAAGAGATGTTTAACAACAATCCATTTTTTATGGCTAAGAATGTTACCTAATAAGGTGAGTGAGGGGGCTGTGTGGTTGGTTTTTTATAAAACTGTCAGGGTGGATTAATCTATCGGCATTGATGGGGAAGATTTTTGTTTGATAAAAAATTTTCATAGATGGAAGGAGCATTTCTTTTTGTTCGGACGGGCAGGTTTGAAAAAAAAACTTGGTTTTTTGCATAAAGCTCCTCCCCTAAAAGCATACTGAATAAGCCACTTTCTATATCATTAAGTCATTACCAAACAATCATGTATAGTTGAATAAATAAGTTGCGAGTCTCATTAAACTGCTAACAAACATGCCATGAGGGTAGTGAATCTTGCCGTAAACACTTAACCTGTTAAGCGTTTAGTAAACAACCACTTAGTTAAGGTGGGACGATTAGGAGTGGAACAAAAAGATGAGGGGTACTATAGAAGCCAAAGGCACTGCAGACATGAGGGTATACACAGGGAAACATATTATAGAACAAAGTTCACAAACGAAACAAAATGAAATGAACCCAATACATCCCACCTGGTGATGGGGTTTATGGAGCGTAAGATGTACACAGACCTCACCTCTACCTCAAGAAGCAGAGTGGCTATTTCCGCAAGGAACGCATATAAGTTAAACAAAGACCCAAAATTATCATCAAAAGATCCATAAGAAAAACAAAAGACATGGATGCCTACAATTTGGACTCATGTATACATACCAAGCATCGAAACCGTGGTCATGCTTAAGCGGTTCCACGGTTCTACTTCTATTTCTACGGGGTTTCTAGTTGAACACAAACTGCTTTTATGTCACCAACTAACAAAAAATTACAAATAGTTAGGAGAGATAAAACACTACATGGTGGCATAATAAATGAAAGGGATTAGCAAGAAATACCGATTGTGCGTTCATTCTTACGCCTTTTTGACCGATGCTTCTTTTTCGGTTTTCTCAGGTTCGCCTTCATCCTCGTCATCTGCTTCATCGGCTAATTTCGTAAGTTCGTCCTGGATCATGAACTTTATGGACGGCTTTCTTGATATGAGGTCCGCATTGAATCTCTTAACTGAAAATTTTCAAGTATTGACAGTAGATATTCCCAATGAGCATGGTCATACAAAATTCTGATCTAACAAACAGACAATCGAATACTTCGGGTGCATTTGGTACGTGGAGACAAGACTGAACAGGATTGGACAGTACTAGATTGGACGAGCGTGAGTGAGATATGCAGGTGAAAGAATTGTGGATGGTTTTAGGGTTTTAATTTGACATGGATAATTTAATAATTTACCAATCTTGTTTCATCTCTCCCAATAATTGTTCCAGCTATTTTAGTACGGCAGAAAAAATGCAGTTTTGTCTCATTTAGATCATGTATTGTCCCAGTCTAATGTCACACCTGGGACAACAAGTTATTGTATTCTCTTGTCCCGTCCTGTTCTGTCTACCAAACGCACTCTTACGTTATGTTCTCGAATTTTGGAAGGAAAGAAAAAAAAGAAAGGGGAAAAAAGAAAGAAATTTTTTTTATTTGTGTTCTTGAGTGAAGGGAAGGAAAGAAAAATAAATTTTTATGTTCTTGACTGGTAGAGAAAGGAAAGAAAATGTGTCATTTTTAGAAATATACCCTTCTTTATTTTATAGTTGAATGTAATTAGGGTTGGGTTCCGATGAGAAGGGAAGTTATTGTGAGAAGCGTATGAAAAGATCTCCACCCTTGGATCAATTATAATTGAATGTCAACACTAATGAGGTGCACCAAGATGCACGAGATCAATTCCCTGCTAAAACACAATTCATGGATGAGCATGAGATTAAAAGTGATCAAGGGTTCAATTCTCTTCTTACGCTTTCTCATAATGACTTCCCTTCTCACGCAATCCTTCGCCATGTAATTAATGGGTGTGTAATTTTATAAACATTTTTAGTTTTTATAAGTTCTTTCCTTCCCTTTACCTTCCTTTCCTTCGTAAAAGAAAACGTGAGAACACAACATTAAAGACAAAAAAATACTTAAATCAGAAGAACTAACAAGTTCAAGACCGAAGAAAGAACCAAGAAACGGCTTTATGCAAATAAAAAAGGTTTCCACATAACACTAGGTTATCATATACTAAACCAAAACACATCACCATGATGTTCATAATGGGGAATGGATAATGCTTACCCAGCTGTCTGAAAATGTCGGTAAAGGTTGCCTGCAAAATAGAGAAAAAAGATGAAACAGTGTCAGTGCTCGAGAACAAGCTAATAATCCAGTTCTTACCAAACCAAATGAGCCGGGTATATCCCACCTGGAGGTGAGGTCCAGGAGGAGATGTACGCAGACCTCTACTCGAAAGAGTATAAAAGGGTCATTGGCTCAGCAGTACCCGAGTTACCGGCAGGGTCCAGCCTCCCAAGAGGTGAAGGGTTCAAATCTCACCATGAGGAGTGCAGGTGAGTATTTTCCATATATAAATATTATATACTTCAAAAAATAGTATAGTGGTTGTTTCCGTGAACTCCCGAGCCAGTGAAAATGTGGAAGGGAGAAACATAAATGCTAAAGTTGGAAAAGCTAGATATGAGTAAATAAACAATAACAATAGAAAACAACAAGGGTGGTGCCTGATTGCTTTGAGCTTGGCTCCAAAGGTCAAAAGTACCAGGAGGTCCCAGGTTCAAATCCAAAGAGGAATAAAATTTTCGTTGTGGCCACGGAGGTTCAAATGCGGTGACTCCGGGCTATCTGCAAAGCAGATGGTCACCCTGGGATTAATCGGCTCGCATAACGGGTTGGATATCCAGGTTAATTTATAAAAAAAACAATAACAATAGAAATAGAAATAAAGAAAGACAGATGCTAAATTTTGAGAAACTAGATCTAAGTAAGCAACAACAATATAAATAACAGCATGTACAAGAAAAAACATAACCAAGGTATGGTAACTAACATGCCCCTAGAATAATAGGCATGTTGCCAGTCAACTTGGATATCTATTTGTTGCTAAGGAAATCAATGCAAGAGACTCGTGAACTTGGAGTTCAGAAAAAGAATCAATAGCTGACTTACTTTATGGCCAAAGAAATACAAGGACAGACTAAAAGCATGCCTTGTAAAAGTCCACTCGAACAGCAAAAGACTACGGGGCTGTTTGGTTGGCTTTTCATTGAGTCCTGTATAGATAAAGTTGTCTGTGTGGATTAATCTATCTGTATAGGTTGAGAAGGTTTTTATTTGAGAGGGTTTTCTAATACATGGGAAAGCATGTCTTTTAATTCGGAGGGCCAGGTTTGGAAAAAAATTGGTTTTTTGCATAAAGTTACCCCCTAGAAGCTTACTGAATAAGCCACTTTCTATTTTATTAAGCCACTAGCAAACAGTCAAGTATAGCTGACTGCATAAGCTACTAGTGCTATTAAGCTGCTAACAAACAGAGACTAAGTGCGCCCCCACAAGCAAATCATGGAAAAAGACCAATCAATAGGCACCACAGCCAATCTTGTTTAACTTCAACAACTAAAAGGAGTAGTAACAAATTCTCACCGTATTGAAATCAACTTCTTTAAGGATCTCACATATTGCAGTTTTGAGTTCATCATCGCTAGGCTTCTGCTTTTCTTCTTTAGGTTTCTCCTTGTCTTTCAGAGCCTTTTTACCTTTTATACAAGTCACCAGTATATATTAACTTCTTTGAAATAACGCAGATCAAATACTCCCTCCGTCCCAAAATAAGTAACGACATTCTATTTTAGTTTGTCCCAAAATAAGTATGCACTTTCAAAAGTAAGTGACAACCTTCCGATTCTGCACTAAAATTAAGAGTAAAAATGTCATTTGGTTAACTAAAAAGGCACACAATTTTAGGATTGTGTAATCATTAACTTTTTTGTTAACCAAATGACATTGTTACCCTTGACATTATGAGATAGATAAATTCATTACTCAACTGATATTAAGGGTAAAAATGTCATTTGGTTAACTAAAAAGCTAATAATTACACAATCCTAAAACTGTGTATCTTTTTCATTGTGAACATTTATTTTGGGACAACCATGGGAGTATCAGACAGTATGCCTTAAAGAAAAAATCCATCAAATTAAAACAAAGGCAAAACTCCTCACCAGTTTTCTCTTTTGAAGCAGACTTCTTGGGAGTTGAAGGCTTCTCATCGACCACATGATTTTTCTTCTTCCTTGAAAAGGTCTTCGGGGTGGGTACACTTTCATCCTTGGATTTGGAATGACTTGTAGAAGATTCAACCGGTGTTTTCTTTTGAGGAGGAGTAGACTTCTTAGGTGTTGCTTCCTTCTTTGATTTACTTTTTGGAGCTGATTCCCTCTTGGAAGAAGGTTTTTCAGAAACTCGTTTGCGCTTGTTACTGTTTTTCCCAGATTCAGGTTCAGACACATGTTCTTCTTCACTTTCAGTATGCTCAGATTTCTCGCTCTCAGATTTCTCTGGGCCACCATTCACATTCTGATGTTCATTATTTTCTTCCTCTTCCACTTCCTCTTCTTCCGAGTCTTTCATCTCAGAAGTACTCTTCTTATGTTCTTCAGATGCACTTCTACTTTTCTGTTTCTGCACAAACAAACACCAGATGGATAGAGCATGCCATTAGACAGACTTGGGTATAAACTGTTAAGGGAAAACCCATGTCATTCTGGTAACTTTTGACCTTCAACATATACTTCCTCCATCCAAGAAAATAAGTGTATACATTTCTATTTTAGTTTGTCCCAAAATAAGTGTCCATTTTTAAAAAAGTGTCTACCTTCCAATTCTACGCTTATTTATAAGACGGAGAAATTTGTTACGCCCTCTATTATTTAGGGTGAAACTGTCATTTAATTTACTTCCTGTGTCATCCAACATTTGCATTTACGCTGTGTTCTCGAACCCTCTTTTACGAAGGAAAGGGGAGGAAAGTAGAAAAAACTCGTGTTCTCGAAACTATTTTAGGAGAGAGGAAAGGAAACAGAAGGAAATAATGATAAGTTTCCTTCCAAATGTGGGAGGAAAGGGAAGGAAAGGAAAGGAAAGAAATTAAAGCCCTTCAAAAAGATGATTAAAATTACAAAACTATCCAACCTTTCATTATAAAGGATAAATTTTTTAAGGGTACATTTGTAAAAATTACATATTTCCTTTCGTTTCTCAATTGTTCAAGAACATGAAAAATTATTTTCTTTCTTTTCCTTCCCTTCCTTTTCTTTCCTTTCGGGTATGTTCCGTATGCAGACTGGGCGAGACGAGATAGGACAAAGAAAAATAGTCCCATGTTAGGTATGCCTTGGAACAAAAATGAGATAGGACAACATGGGACAAAAATGAGATTTCATGGGACAAAACTTAAAAAGTTTGTTCCACCAAAATAGGTGGAACAACATGGCACTAATAACAAGATCACAAAACTACCCTTTTTTACTCATCTGATTACAAACCTAATTTGTGGTACGCCTCCACATACTTCATCGCTTCCATCCAACTCGTCTTCTTCCTTCCTAATTATCATCGACTTCTTCCATCGACTTCATCTCGATTCATCCAGGTACGGTTTTGATGGTTTTGGTTTCTGTTTTCAATTCATCTCATCTTCTAGTTTCAATTTTCATGTGTTTTCTATTTTCGATTCTTCATCGACTATGTATCTTCCATGGTTTTCGATTAGGTTTTTGTATTTTATATATTTCCTTCTCCATATTCTAGCCACTGTATTGATTAGGTTTCCATGGTTTTCGAGTAGGTTTCTATATTTCGTCAATTTTGTCCTCCATATTCTAGCTACTTCATTGATTTACTACCTAATAATGGTTACTGTGTTGGGCTATATTGTGTTTGATTTACTACCTACGGCCTAATGCTTACTACCTACTGTATTGTATTGATTTACTACCTAATAATGGTTACTATGTTTGTTTTCTAATTCGATCCTCGTAATGTGTTTGTTTTTTTTATTCCATTCTATTGTGTTTGTTTGTTTTATGTTTCATCTTTTGAATATATTGCTATTGTGTATTTTGACTATTGTTTGTTACTTTGTGATAGAGAGTAGAAATAGCAATTTGGAATTAACACAGAAAAATACTATGGAAGGAGGTTATTAGATTGAAATTGGAATGAAAAGAGAAGAACAA